GAGAAGGGGAAGGGGAAGGGTATCGTGTGGTGGCACGAGGGTGAATCCATCTGCTAAGTGCGGATAAAATTACCCCTCGATGCTTCCACTGACAAACTCCCTGGATATCTGGCCGTTCGTTCCACTCGTCTCTTTCTCCCTCCAAAATCCCTTCTCCACTATTTTCTCTCCCTTTCTTTCTATCTCACTATCCTTCTCGAGTAAATAACTTAGATGCGTCCGTTGGTCGCTACGTTTGCCAACGGCGGTTCTCAACTTGCCTCCTCCTTTTCCACTTTAATATTCTCTCAGAAACGTTCAAACTTTCATCAGTTTCCCCCCCCCTCCCTCCCACCTCTTGCCATCAAATCTCGAAAAAAATCATCTTCAATGTTATTCCTTGTTTAAACGAGCAGGAATATTTGTCTACGAGACGAAAAGAATCATACATTCTTTTATTAAACAATTATTTCTTTATTGTTTATTCATCTTTTTGTAAAAAAATATATAAAATTATTCTATAAATTACTTGTGTTTGTATATAATGTCGATTGTTTTAGCTTGAGATATTAAAATTGGTATAAGAAATGTCTTCGTGACACAAACGGTGGTATAAAAAAATGACAAGGGTTAATTATACAGTTGGATATTATTTGAAACACATATATAAGAGTTTTGGTATCGATAAATTATAAGGGTTGTTTTAAAAAGAATATTAGAATCGTGGTTGAGAAAAAGGGGTTGATTTGGTCCGGAAGACAAACCGATTGACGAGACCGAGACGGAAGGGTTGGTTGGTTGGTTGGTAGAAGGGGAAAGGAGAAGAGGATGAACATTGGTAGAATGCAGTAGGAAAATCGGAAAGGATAGCAACATCTCGAACGAGGGTGGGTGTATGCGCGCGCGCGCGCGCGTGTGTCGTCTCTTCTCCTTTCCTTGGAATCTAATTTCGTCGAATGTCATCCCGAAGAGTCGGAGAGTGCAGCGATCTGCATTCGAGGTTGAATCGCTCGATAGCAATTTCCAGGAAAGGAGAGTACGAGACTCGACGTGTGCACGAGAAAGACAGACAGATAGATAGTAGTAGAAGTAGAAGAAGAAGAAGAAGAAGAAGGTGGATGAGTGGGAGAGAGAGAGAGAGAGAGTGGGGAGGGGAACGAAGGAAAGAGAGAAAGAAAAAGATATGGGTGGGGGGAAGGGGGATATCGATATAGGCGAATGTAAACGCGTGTATCACGTACGTAAATGTAGAAAGAAGAAAAGAGGGATAGAGAGAAAGAGAGAGAGAATAGAATGGAAAAGTAAAGAGTGGGGGTAAGTATCTAGAAATGTAAGGAGAGGGATAGGGATAGGGTGAGTGAGGGATGGATCCTACAGGAGGATACGCCGTCCTTTTCCCTTATAAGTTCCGTCGAAGTATTGAGTCCTGTATCATGGCGGCTATAATACATTTTTTATCTGATTGAGGGGATCTTCTTTATGGAGGGTGTTCCGTACACACAGCTTTTAGTTGGAACGGTCTTGTGTAGATACTACGTTCACCTTGGTGTTCTGCTTTTCTTTCTTCCTTTCTTTCCTTTTTTTATTTATTTTTCTTCTGTCTCTTACATTAGTTACTTTTTCACTTTCGGCCATCCTTGATATTGTCGAGGATGGATGAGAGGACCAGAAGAGAGGGGTGGTTGGGGAACACGCACCTTTTTCCCTCAGCGTTTTTCGCATCGGCCGTAATAATCGCGAATTTCGCGTAGCTGTTGTCTCGTTCAATGGGGGATGATGCGGCATGGCGTTAGAAGATATGTTGCTTTTAAATAATATATTCTGAGGTTTTTTTCGATGTAACTCGGGAATACATGCTTGCATATGAAATGTTTGGGATTTGGTTGGTTTTTTTGGTATTGCTGGGTTGATATTGTACATCGGTAATGTGGCTAGATTATAGAATTGAAATTAAAATACTTCAGTATTGTTAATATATTTGGGATATTGCCAGATGATCTATTTTTTCCACATAAATCCGAACAGAATTAATTTTATTCGTATTGACCATAGCGAATTGTTTTCATTCACGTAGTATTTATGTTACACATAGGTATGATTTATGTTACTTATATGTAAAACTATAGTCGCGAGTTTAGATGAGATGATGTTACAACTTGGTTGTTATTAGATTTTTATTCCGAGAGTTTCTAGATGGAATAACCGTACTACGTATAATATACGTATCGTCGTGCATGATGCAAGGACTTTTATTGATTCTACGGGAATCTAGAAAATGGCCATATTGGAGATCGTGTGGGTAAAGGATATTAAAATGCATTCAATGCGATCGGCTGCCAATTTATAAAGCTCTTTCAGCTTGAAAGTACCTACTCGTTCGTCTTTCCCGACGACGGTATTCCCTTTATTTCAACGAACAAATCCAACAACCAGTGTGCGCGTTCACCGAACGTGCGCCTTTCGTTATGTTTATATTAACGAATAACAACATGCGTCGAATTTTACCCACCTTGCTTTTTTTACTCTTCGGTGATTGGTGACGTCGACGAATACATCTAGAACGATTTTCTTTTTATTTTATATTATATTTTTTTCTTCCCCTCCCCCTGCCCACTCGCCGAAAGAAAGTGTTAAAACTCGTCTTAACTTAAAAGTTACAAGCACGGTATATAAAACAGAAACAGAAACAGAGAGAGAAAAAGAAAGAGAGTGAGTTTGGATACAACGGTGATGTGAGTTGCATTTGGTAAATGGCAATCAAATATGCACGATCGATTAGCACGTCCGTGCCTAAAAGCAAACAGTGCTCTTCGACGCACGAATGAGAGAAAGAGAATTAGAGGGAAAACGTATCTCCTCTTCCTCCTCCTCCTCCTCCTGTTCTGAACGTTTTAAACGACTCCCACAAACCCGCATCCGTTGTGTTCGTTGTACGGCTCGTTAGAGCCGATAGAGACCGAGTTAAATAATAAAAAGACCGTGCGTACTGCTCGCTTATCAGTTATCTGTATTTTCCCTCTTATCTCAAAAATATAAAGGACAAACAAAAATGATAAGACATTTAACACGATCTCGCACGTATATTATTAATTCATTTTATTTCTATTATATTAGAAAAAATATGATTTAACGTTCGAATAATAATACAACAGTTTTTTATTCTTGCATGGTGTTTTTTTCATTGACAAATATTTGTTCAAATAAAATGGTCAAAAAAGAAATAAGATAGGACGGGGATGAAGTCGTGCAGGAAGGAGAGTAAAGTATGGGAAAGTAGAAGGGGTGGTAGGTAGGTAGGTAGGTAGGTAGGTAGGTAGGTAGGTAGGTAGGTGAGTGGGTGGTTGGTTGGGTATGTTCTCGGGAGGGGTGCAGGGTAGAGGTTGTGTCAGTGGTGAGAGTAGATCTGCTGGAGCGGCGGAGGCCGCTGCAGGGGATTGAAAAGCAATTTCCCCGTGAGGGACGCGCGGTGTGTGGGCCGAGCTTTATATTAATGATCCAGATATATTATCGGACGTGACCGAAATTGCTGTCAAAAAACTCGGATATTGGATCGAAAGGAGATTGCGAGACGGTCGACCCTCTCTCTCTCTCTCTCGCTCTCTCCCACTCTTTTTTTCTTTGTCTGTATGTGTACACGTGTCTCTCTCTCTCTCTCTCTCTCTCTCGCTAGGTATCTATTCATCTCTCTTGCTCACTCTTCCGTTGCCAGGGTTCTTTTCTAACACTATGATCGTCTATACCTAGCGATCGGTCACTACAGAAAACGGCATCGATCAAATAGCGCGGGAAAAGTCACCTAACTCGTTTGTTTTTCCTCTTTTCCTCTGATACACATAGAAATACGTATACGTATCTATACCGATTTAGATAAAAACTATTTCCCCCTTATTTTTCTTGATATATATGATTTTCAAATCACGTAATTCTGATTTGACAATAATTGTGTATGTTTATATATTGACATGTATGTGACTTATCGAAAAGAAATCAATTTTACGATATTTCATTATTTCGTTTGAAATCATGCGTTAACGATACGATGATTCATACATTAATGGCATCCTATTGGCTAGTTTTGGCTTTGCGAAAAGGTTAATCTTCAAATTAACCCTACCGATCAGTGGAAAATACTATGAAACAATGAACAAACAATAATTTCGGTAAAGAAGTAACGGATCGATATATTGCGAAAGGTTCGATTTAAAAATATGAAAACGAAAAGAAAAAAGAAAAAAAAGAAACTTATTTCAATCTTTTGCATTTAAACACGAAGAAACATTATTATTCTCCGGATCGAATGCTTCATTCATAATACACCCATACGTATGCCCGCATACGTGAGTAAAATAATTTCCTCCGCCATTAACGTGAACGAGACGATCGTTTATGGGATAGGTTGCTGAGTTTCTTTCTTTAAAAAGCGATATTAAGCTTGATATTCCGTCTACGGCAGGGATTGCGGTAAGAGGGGGGGGGGAGGGAGAGGGATAGGTAGCTAACGAATCGTCATTACGATCGACTCGAATTAAAGCAGGTCGTTAAGGGAGAGAGAAAACGGTAGAGGAGGGTAGCGGGGTTTGGTAAGTGAAGAGTTAGGGTTTTAAAAGACACACCAGGCACACGGCACGACTCTTTGCATCGGAAGGCCTTTTTCGCATCCCGACGATTACTATCTTCTTCTTCTTTTTCTTCACTTTTTCTCTCTCTCTTTCTCTCTCTCTCTTCTCTTTCGGCAAAGCTTATCGAAGCGAAAAAAAAAACCAGAGAGAACTTTTTATGCGGGTCCGTTAAGTGCCACCTACTATGTCGATGCGCGTGTCCGACCGTTTTATGCAGGTTCTCGATAAGGAGCCTCAGCCTCGTTAGAGACCTAACAATCCCCCCCCCACTAACCCCCCCTCCCTTCATACCCCTATACTCTTTCCTCAACCACCACAAAGTTCTCTTTTTCTTTCATCCTTTTCAATTGGTATCGCGAGAAGTAGCCTTTCTAATTTAATTCTTTAATTATTCTGTTACAGGTTATGTTAAATTGTCTCCAGGAGACGCTGACGTAGTTCCAAGGTCGTTCCGAAAAGCCAGCAAGAGGTGAGCGAAAAGAAAATAATATTAATAATAATCGATAGGGGATTCGCGAAAAATAAAATTGCGCGTTGTCGCCGCTGGACGGGAACCCTAATCCGAGTTTTATGTTTCCCAGCGACTGTTCTCATCCATTGGGATTGTCCAGGGCCCCTGTGCCAACTTTCTCAAGAATACCTAGTTTTATTTGGAATAGGGGATGAACTCGATTCCTCGCAATAATATCGGTTCATACTTTCAATTAGAAATTGTATATTTGTAACGTCAATGATCTAACCTGAAAAATATATATTCTATTAGTCTTATTTTTGATTTCGCGAAGAAAAATATCGTGTTTGACATAGCAAAGGAATTTGTATATCCGTTAAACGAGATGAGATGAGATGAGATGAGATGAGGATCAGTAGAGGAGATGGAACACATGTCGAGAAAGGTTTAGCAGTAGAAGCATGAAGGGGAGGACGAGGACGAGGACGTAGGACGTAGGAGAAGGATGATGATGACGAGAGGATGAGGTGGATTGGTTGGAATGGATAGGTGGGAATGATGGTGCGGCGTACTGGCGTTATGGCTTTGCTTGGCTTGGCTTGGCTTGGCTTGGCTTGCCGTAGCGTGGCTCGCGATCGAGTCGCAAAGACTAATTTCCGGTGGCTCGTATTTATACGGTTAGTTATACCGAGCGGATAATACGGACCCGGCGACCTCGGTTGGTTCATCGAGGGGCGGCCAAGTTAGCCATACGTCCGTCCGTTCCTCTGTCCGTTCGTTCGTTCGTTCGTTCGTGTTGGCTTTCTCTCTCTCCTTCCGTCTCTTTCATCCTACTCTCGTTCTCTCTCTCTTTCTCTCTCACTTGGCATATAACTCAAACCACGCGGTCTACTCTGTACGGATAGTAGGCGTAACTGAATTTCCATAGCTCGGTAATTGTAATGCACATTCGTTAGTCGGCAACGAGGACGAATGGAATTAACGCACGACTACACTCTAACCTTATATTTATTATATTTATACTTTAACATTCTTTGTATAGTTACACATTCATCTAACTATAGAACTTATTATTAGATATGTGTGTGTTTGAAATTAATCATTCTTATTTGATGATTAAACTTCATTTGGGTTCTTATATGAAAGATATTATTTTTTCCTCTTTGAATTGTTACTTTCTCTTAATTGTTAGAGAACACAATAAGTCAAAGGTTAAAACAATGAAGGCGTCGAACTAAATAAGCTAACGTAGCTAACGAATACTACTATATATATATATATATATATAATATATATATATGTCGAGGTGTATTTGCATGTGCAAGGGAGACGTTTGATTGGCCGTGACGTCGATGCTTTAAAGTGGCTTGCCAGCCCCTTGATTGGATTCTATCGTGGACACAATGGACTATACATTGCGCGACCTGACTTGGGAGCGCATTGGATAGAAGACAAGAGAGAGAGAGAGAGAGAGAGGGATAAAGATAGATAGAATAAGGATAAGGAGAGGTAGGAATAGTATACAGTAACAATAGGATTAAAAAGACTTCAATGATATTCCAAAAATAATATGATTAATAGAATAGTAAAAGAAAACAAATTGCCAATGATCTTCTCAACAGAAGGCACATTTTTTCGGATTCTCAGAAAACAATAGCTATTATACTCGATAGTTAGTGTATTATTACATAATCAGTATTAGTTAGAGTCCTTTAGTAAGTAAAATTGTCAAGTGTCACGGCATGTGTAGGTCGGTTATAGTGAGACTAGCGAGTGGGAGTGAAAAGGGGAATCGTGAAGAGGGCTGATGGCTACCAGCTAATCCTGGTGCCTGTTGGATATTGGCCAAAGGAGAGGAGACATCAGAGAGAGAGTGAGAGAGGGTAGGAAAAGGAAGAGCTGCGTAGCAGGTTGAAGGGTGGGTGGATGAAAAGGAGGAGGATGAGGAGGTAGTTGTAGTAGGTAAGAGGAACGGGAATGGGAATGGGATGGGCAAGGGGAACGGGAACGGGGTGGGCGAGGAAGAAGGGTCGGGTCGGGCGTACTTAGTTAGCGGACAATGTGGCCCCTAATGAACAGCCAGGGGCGCCCAGCAGACCAGCTACTGAAGCACGCCATCTAGTACGAGACAGACGGATTACGTTGCTTCGGTTGCTCAGCAAGCGTTCGTTCCGACGAGCCGCTTAAGAGGACCGCAGACCGAGCAGAAATCGATCAAAGACGATGAATACTTGGACACCGTCTAACTTTTTCTTTTTTACTTCCTTCTTTCTTTTCCTTTTCCTTTTGTTTCTTTTTCTTCTTCTTCTATTTCTTCTTTCAATCTCACCTCTTTCGTTCGTTCAACGTACGTTACATCCAGCAGCGATCTTATCGGGGACACTTTTATCGATGCGGAAACGATGAATAACCCAAGAAGAAAGAGAGATTTTCTCATCGAATTCGGTATGATAATTTGAAAAGTTCAAAGATAGGGTATAAGCTTCTATCTGTGCGATAAACGTGTTCTTTCGATGTCCGTTCAACGTTTCTTTGGATCCTTTACCTTTTTTTTTTCTCTTTTTCTTTTTGCTTTCCTTTCTCTCTTTCTCTTACTTACTTTCTTCTTCTTCTTCTTCTTCTTCTTCTTCTCCTCCTCCTCCTCCTCCTCCATCCATTTAATGGACTCCGAAGCGATTATGCGGCGATCACGTGTGCTCGTCGGCTTGAAACTTAATTAAGATAACGACGGAACTTTGCTCGATCGAATGGGAAGAAAAGGATGGAAAATTAAATGACTTCTTTATTAGCTATTTTACCTCGGCCTTCTCTCTCTCTCTCTCTCTCTCTCCTATTTCTTTTATTTTTTTCTTTTTGTTCAAACTCTTCCATCTCTCTCTTGCTCTCTCGTGCTCTCCTTTTTCGAAGTAAATTTATTAACGATACATATTCTCTACGGTAGCAAGCAATTTTAATTTTACATTTAACGAATCCATTGGGTTTTCTCTGCGTGACTGTGAGTTTCGTTTTAAGAAAAGGATTGAAATAGTTAATGAATGAAACGAATTTTACACGGACGTCGTACATATGTACATATAAATGTATACGAGCCTTTCATTTAATTAATGCTTCCAACTCGACGTTTGCGTTACGTGTGTAACGTCGATGATCGGGGCTACGTAATGCTTGTTAAGACACATCAATAATTCCAGACCGCCATTAGCTTTTCATAGCAGAACTCGCGAGTTGCACGTTTCGATGTAAATTTGTAAAAAGAACCTTGGGCGAAACAACGAGCTCACGAGTATTATTACAAATTAGGAATAATAATAATAATAATAATATTAAAAGGACTGGGTGTATACCCGTTTAATTAATTATCTTTTCTTTTGTTCTCATTTGACGCGTTGCGTTAGATAAGACAATGGTGTTACAGTTTTGCGAAAAAGGATGAATTTTTTGTTCCCTAAGGTGATTTTAACTGACATGAGAACCATCGGCCCCAATGGGTGATAGCGGTGCCGGTGGTGCCGGTGGTGGTGGTGCCGGTGGTGGTGGTTGGTGGTGGTGGTGCCGGTGGTGGTGGTTGGTGGTGGTGGTGCCGGTGGTGGTGGTTGGTGGTGGTGGTTGGTGGTGGTGGTACGCCGTGCGGCAGTTGTAATTGGATTCAATTGTGCCGCGTTAAATCAGTGACCGCGCGATTCTCCCGCCGATCCTCCGTTATGTGCCTATCCATCCGTTACTCCTTCGACGCGATTCGTTCGAATAACTTGGTCGCAGTGCGCACGAAAAATCGATCGACTCTTCTGTGTTCGCTCAAACGTATGGGGAACAACAACAACAACAAAAAGAAGAACACGTACGAGAGAAATCTACCATCGGTCTATTTCTCTCTTTCTTTCACCTTCCTATATTTCCCATAACACCTTTGAACGATCCATTCGCGTAAATTTTCTCTCTAAAATAATTTCTACTTTCGAATAATTTTCACAATTGTATTTTTATATCAACAAATTAGGAAACACCCGTGAATAATAATAGAAACGAAATGGAACACAAAATATCGATAGATCATTAGATCGTTGCCAATAGGCAAGAATACGGATGAGATAATCAATAAAAGTCTCCCAATGGATTTTCGGTTAACGTCACGTATCTATAGGGTGACTGCAATTGTTTCAAAATTAATCAATCGTGATATTAAATAATTTACCAAACGGACGGGATTAATTTTAAATTGTTAATCAAAAGAAAAATAGGTTAGTTACGTGAAAAAAAAAAGAAGGCGTTAAGACGACGACGTATTCCTGTGGTAAATTTTCTTACTCTTTCAGGAGAATGATCGCAGGGGTTGTTTTAACGGGCACGATACGCCTTTGGCGCCATCTCGGGGAATCGCAAAGGGGTGCGGAAGGGCTACGGGCTTCGTAAATACCTACTGCCAGCTCGCATCGGTAATATTGTAAGCGGTAATTTTACTAATGGCATTGCCGCGTTCTCTGTTTTCTATTACGTTTATATCTTCCCTTAGCGATCCCACCCTAACTTCCTTCTCTCAAGCCCGCACTGTTTCCAAGCACCTTTTCTCCCCTTCATTCCTTCCTCCTCTTCCTCCTCCTCCTCCCCCCAACCCCACTTCTTCTTCTTTCCTTTCCTCGTCTTTGTCTTATTACTCGTGCACGCGTGCAGGTACTATCGTTGTCGTGTAGGTACTCTACACCTATGTCCTTCTTCCCCTTTTCATCCCTTTTCCTCGTGGAAACCCCCGAGACTTCCACAGAGGGAGCCACTTCTACACTCACCCTGTTAAACCTCCTTGTACGCGTATTTTCCTCGTTCAAGCAGGGAATAGGCCGCGTGTTTCGAGTGTCCCTGCTATATCGTTACCTCGACAATACCGGGTGTCCTATTACGACTCTTTTTATATATCCCTTACATCCATTTTTAAGTTAAATAAATGAAAATCTTGTCATACGATTGATCTCGAATCCTGTAATACATCGTTATGAATCTTCAATGTATTTTTTCAATTTCCAATTATTGTAGACGTACGAGTTTTCCTAAGAGTATCATAAATCGAAAAATGCAAAATCCACCCGTTATAGTCGAGGTATTCGGATTAACCGAAGTGCCGAAGCTTGTGCTCGGTAAAAAGTACGCGAACGACAAACGATGCCTCGTGTTACCGCGTGAAACGCGTTGTTGGTTGAAGGGGATCGTAACACGTGCTAGATATCTATATAGGTAAATGTATATACGTATGTGTATATTTCATTCAACAAGGACCGACCGAAAATTCGATCGATTTTCAATCGAAAACGGACTAACTTTTTAGGATTTTCTTTGCACCAATAGCAGAATCAGCATTAGCAGCATTAGCAGCAGCAGTTTTCATTCGTTCGTTCGTTCGTTCGGTTGGTCGACGATTAATCATCGCGTGCTCGTTAACCGTGTTCGAGGATGAAATGGTTGTCGTAAAAAATCCCAGAGTTCCATTTCATATAACGAAATGTGCTTATTCTCTCTTTTCTCGCTTAAAAGGAGAACGAACGTGCGAGTGAGGGAGCTTGCAAGCCTTGCTTCTCTGCGCTTGGCTGGCTGGTCGTTCGTCGCGTTCTCGCGCGCGCACACACACAAAAGTGGAAGACTTTTCGAGGCAAGCAACGTGAGTTTAATGAAAATAGTTCTTACGTTTTTACGCGACGGTCTCTCGGAAGCGGCCCAGAGCCCCTCTACGTTCCCTTAACGAAGATTCTAATTAAGCGAGCCTTCTACCGTCAACCTTCTTCCTCCTCCACCCCCTTCCCACTCCTACCTACACTCCTCTCATCCTCCTACTCGTTCTCCTTCTCATCCACCAACACTCTCACGGTGCTACTACTACTATTACTGCCTGTTCCTACTACTTTTGTAGACCTTGCAAAGACGACTATCGTCGAGGAGGAGTCAGTAGCAGCTAATTTCTACGACTGTTCGTTCGTTGATTCGGTCATAGTGTTAGTTTATAAGTTTTTTATTCACATTTTGAATGATTTTCACGGAAAAGTTATCTCTCATTTATTAGATGCTTTAGATCGAAACGCCACTTTTCAGTCAGGGGCGAGACGTCGGGGGTAGGTCGAGTAATAGGACGAGAGGAGTGGCTGCTAAGGGGTGTTGGAAGGGCAAAGAGAAGGGGGAGGAGGGTGAGATCCCAATTAGATGAGTACAATTAATCGACGAGGGCACGTATCTGGTATCCATGCGCGCACCCGCCACCATTTTCTATATATCCGAGGGATGCTGCCGAGGTTACACAGGGCGAACGTACTTAATCCATCTACCTCGAACTAACGCCAACCATCCTCCAACATTTTCCATCCTCCTTCCGTTCCGATTCTCTCTCTCTCTCTCTTTCTCTTTCTCTTTCTCTCTCTACATTTCGCTTCGTCTTTCTCTTCTTCGCGAGGAGATATCGATGACTGCCAAAAGCAGCCTTATTATCTTCCTCTACCACCTTCGTCTCGTTCGTTTCGTTTACGAGTCTCTCAATTCCTTAATTAGATCTAGGGTACGTATACTACGCGTTTCAAACTAAGGGGCGGGGGAGGGAGGGAGGGTGGTCCAGATGGTCGCTACCGATTCCATTGCGACAGCTGAATAAATTCCCGGCGAATGAGTAGCATGAATATTTAATAAAACCTAATCTCTCTCTTTCTCTCTATACTCTTTGCATGTATTATATTACATATTCTCAATTAATTAAGAATATTTCAAAGGCAGTATATTGGATTTTTCTCAAAAATTCTCTAATTATAATAGTAGTTACTTTTGTTTTTTTTTTTTTCGGTTTACAACAAAGTCAAATAAACTATCTACCCGATCGTTAGAATTTCTAAAACAACGTCAGTCTGTTTTTACAAATCTCACGTTGACAAAAATCTATCGTATTTAATCGTAATTGTAAAAAACAAAAATCCTGATTTAATTGCTTAGATCTAGAGGAAATAATATCGACATGGTGAGGCCTCGTTGAACGAGATTTTCCCAATAATAAGTTCAGGAACACTCTAACGGGTAGGAACAACATCGACCGGTTTTCTTGACCCCTGCCTAGTGCATACTATCAAGCTTATCGAATAGTAGGAGTTACTCGTTGGTAATGTTCTTTAATACTAGACACGAGAGACAAAGAATGAAGAGAAAGAAAGAAAGAGAGAGAGAGAGGGAGAGAGTGAGAGACGGGGAAGGGGGGAATGGGGGGGGGAGAGGGAGAGAAAAAGTAATGACCGTAGAGCACTTTCATTACGTAGCAAAGACGTTAATGCAGGCTCGAGTTATATGCGTTATAGTACAACACGTAAGAGTAGAAAACTCGTCCATACACATACTCTCTCATTCTCTCTCTTTCTCCCATATTCGCACTCGTGGCATTAGGCGGCCGACGCGAAAGAGTGAAAGAGCGAACCGAGCAAACAGGTTGAGTAATGAATTTAATCCCCACCTCTGCTACTCTCTCTCTCTTTCTCTCTCTTTCTCTCTTTTTCTCTCTGGTTCTGTCTGTCTCTTTCCAGTTCCCAACATGTCTCCTCGAACTCGACCACGCGCACATGAGGAGACGTTCGCACGTACACATATGCATTTATATAAACGTATGCATAAACTCGACACAACACAACACACACAGAGACACACAATGTTAGCGAACATACGCTCTACCAACGATGCGGCCCCGGCTGTTAGTTACGTTAAGAGCAACGGTTATAATGAGCCCCCATTAAAACGCGACTTCTGGAATATGTCTCCGACAGCTGGACCGCGATGGATTATTTTTTTATCTGCAGACAACAGTTTATTCAAAAGTAACGAGACTGCCGCCGAATAATGGGCTACGCTTGCCCTTCTTCTTTTTCTCCTCCTCCTCCTTCTTCTGCTTCTTCTTCTTCTTCTTTTTCCTCTTCGTTCTAATTTTTTTTTTTTTTTCTATCCACGAGAAGATGGAACGACTTTTAAAAGAGAGAGAGAGAGAGAGAGAGAGAGAGAGAGAGAGGGAAATCTAAATATAATTGAACTTTCATCTCTGCCCATCTGTCTGTATATTTTCTTTACCACTTGCACAAAGAATTCGGTCAAATATAATTCATCCTTGTTTATTTCAATATGTCGTATTAGTTAAGAAATCTAGACGGATAAAGGTAATCTTGACTAAAAATTCTCATTTCCTTTATCCTTTTTTTTGTTGTTGTTGTACTTTTTCTTTTCTTTTTAATCGGCCAGTCGCGTTTTCTTTCTTTTTTTTTCGCAACGCGTCGAATTAATGACATCCTTTCGTTATCTTCTCTTTTAGCCACTCTTACTCTTACTATTACTCTCTTTCTATCTATCTATCTATCTCTTGTACTCTCCTTTGGTGAGTTTTTTTTGCTCTCTCTCTTTCTCTCTCTCTTTCTCTCTCTCTCTCTTTCTCTTACACCCTTTCACGCGCTAACGATAAGAACGCGCCGCAGGAGGTACATCGAACGGCCCGTGGAATCTCCATAATTCCGGCTTACAGAAAATGACAGCTTTTAGCGTTGATGCACAGTTTATACCGGGTGTATTATTTTAAGTGGCGCTGTCTGTATAATTCAAGACTTAAGGCGCGCAGGCAGACAGAGAGAAAAAGAGATAGTGTGAGTGTGAGAGAGAGTGAGAGATATCGTGGGAGGGAGAGGAAGGGCATTCAGAATGAAACTCGAGAGTAAAAGAGAGAATGAGAGAGTTAGAAGAGTGAGAGACTCGTCGTACGTGATTGTGTGAGAGTTGAGAGGGGTGGGTGGGAGGTGGAGGGAGGGAGAGGGAAAGAGAAAGGTCGACACGGTAATGGCATCGTCGTGTCGCAAGCTGCAAGCTTCAGTGATTCTCAATCGTCCGAGTTTACCCTGTTGTTGTCATTTCCCTTTCACCTTTCCCCTTTATCTTTTTTCTTCTTTTTTTAAAGAATATATATCAACTTCATTATTGTACGTTTGAGAGAACGATTTAAAATAAAATAAAATAAAATATAGTGTCGGGGTCAAATAAAGCACAGTCTCGTGTCTCGTGCGTTGTCGATTTAATTCCCGATAAAAACGGGAAATTACGAATCAATTATATCGAGATTATAGATAAATTTCTAATTAATATTACACGACAACGACGAGGGCCACCATTACCACTACCACTACCACTATCACCAATCACCACGATTGTTTAGTGGGAGGAGATCGTAAAGATGATCGAGAAACACGTTCTTAGTTTTGCTGTTGTTGTTGTTGTTGTTGTTGGTGTTCAGGCAACACTAACGAGTCTAGTACCTTTATCGCATTGGATCTTTCATACTATGAGTTTTTACTACTATCCGACTCACGTTTCCTTGTCCTACGTAGAAAGAATTAAAATATACGTTGGCGTGCGTTGCTAAAGTTGCCGGACAAACGAACAAACTGACGAACAGACCGACGGACGTTCTTGATGATATCGC